GACTTTATAAAAATGTTAATTTTTCGTATTTAGTCCACTTTTTCCGCATATCAACCAGCTTGCCTTTAGAAGGCAGAGACAAGAACACCATGTTGCCCTCGTCTTATATTCTTACTGTTTTAGAACAACAAAAAATGGACTCCCGAATGTTGCCTTTAAGTTAGTGGCTAAGATGTGGTATCGTTACATACCAAAATTCCATTTCACGAAGCGAATCAGAATCTAGCGATCACTCACATGGGGCATTCGGAGGGTAAGGAGGGTTTGAGTTCAACCAAGGTTTCAGTTCTTGTGGGCTTCATTTTTTCTGAGGCCTATTCTATTGGCTATTGTGGTCTCTACTCGGCTGTTATGTTTAATGCCACAAACAATGATGTTACTGATGCCGGTAATGAGTATGATTTTTATAGTGGCCATGCGGTAAAGGTTATAGTATGATTATATCTGACAGAGGTAATAACAGTGCTGTGATAGAAATGTTTTTTTCCGTGACGATGGCCCTGGGGCTTACAGTGGGTGTGTTTTGGCCAAAATTAGCGACTGCCGCCGTAAATATTATACTGGTTGCTAAGTCGATGAGGGGGGAATCTTGATTTCCGTTTAGTGATAGAGGCCCTGAACTATGCAATATATCTTAGCATTTCATGCCGCTTATCCTGGCACAATCAGACAGGAACTGAAGCTGGTACAGCTAATCATGCTGAACAATTTGAAGCAGTTGGCGACAAATCGAATGAGTTCGATGTAACCATCTCTTGTATCATTTAAGAAGCATACAATTATCTCGAGACCAGTCCATCAAAGTTACTGGCCTCTGCCGCATAAATGCAAAACCATAAGGCCAAGCGTACCCCACACATTCGCATAAAGCCTTAAAGTGACCAGCCTCGATTTCTTGGTCCGTCTGAAGCGCGCCAATTTGGCCATGTCAGCCGAGTTGTCAACTCTTCATTCGACCGTAGCGAAGTTCACGTTCAAACTATTAGCTGTACTCAGCGCAGCTAGACGGTTTGCTTGCAAGTCAGCCTCATCGGCCAATCAATCAGAGACCAATCAGGAAGTACAAAGGGCAAGGATGTTGAAATGGGGAAAAGCGTCCTCCTCACACTCTCCTTCCTACTCCACCTCAGCTTACCAAAGCCATGATCACCGTTCAAGCATTTTATTATACCGCAATTTCGCTCCGCTCTTTGTTGAACTTGCCTTCTTTTGCATCGCTAGAGATTGCCTTCTCATTAACACGAACTCGCCATCAGACACTTCACGGGTGAATGCTGTCTAGAGAGAATTTGCCTTCTAGACCCCATTAGGTGTGTTTTTGGAGTAGACACATCAAACGTTCACCAACTCACAACTCTGTCCAAAGCTCTAATTAGTAGCGTATAGGCATTCTTTTACTCTTTACCTTTAAAAATTTGCTTTTGATGTGATTGCTTTTGATGTGATTGCTTTTTAATATTCAGTTTAACCTCAAAGAATCCACTTGCTAAGTTGAATATGCAAGCCCGATAAACTTCCTTGTGGTATTGGTAATAAAGTTGTTGTTAGGGCTGAGCATCCCGATACTGATGAAGGAGGCATTAGCAATTAATTTTTTTAGAAATATTTATCTTTGAGCAACTCCAATATGAGGACCAAAGCCCCCATCGGCTGCATCCATTTGTCACCCAATTGATGAAATCCAGCTTTGTAGAACAATTGTTGATCTACTCGTTTGTTCACGAAAATAGCAACTGGTTGTGAGATAATCCAAATTTACTGGATTTACAAGAGGGTTTGGATAGTATTTATCTTTACTGGGTTTGCATTATCCTTTATATCTCGGTCTCAATCGTCCTGTATCTCTTAAAGTGCGTGCCGATGGTTGCGGATTTCCTCAACTAAAAGTGTTGGTACTGCTGGTGAGCATCTGTACAACTAGTCTTATGGTTGACCTTTTGACCCCATAGGTGGTTAATATGGCTGACTCAAAAATGGTCAATACCTACTTTAAACGCTCATAATTTTGCGAAAGTTATTGCTTTTATTCTAAGCAGCTTCTTCCTTTTTAGTTGTGTTCCAGATTGGCTAGACTGGCGCCCTCATAAAGGGGCGTTACAGTGAACATCGTCCGATGGCGTTTTTATCCCTTATCATCTGGCCATCCGCCCGCAACTGTACAGTTTAAAAGGAAGACTGGCAATTCCTTGAGACTTCCGATTCTTTACTTCCTCGTGTAATGCATAGAATATCATACTCTGTCTGACTGGCATGACCTCTGCTACAAACAGGAGTTGAATACTATCACCGTTTGTATGTCGGAAACCTTGTGTCGCTTAAATTTACCTGTGACCCTGTAACAAGATTGCCTGTCTTTTTTGTCCATAGTTGCTGATGTAGGCATTTACCTTTAACTGGCAAAAAACTTGATCTTTATGTCTATTTTTGATAACTTTAAGTGAGACATGATGACACGAACAATCGAGATGGCGCTAATCTTGATTCATTATTTTGTACAATGAACCCTCAGCCCAAAATAAGATTGAAATGAATTTGAGACTCATTCGGACCGTATAGAAGTTTTTTCACGCCAGCTTGCTATTTTAGTGAACCTAACTGCTATTTTTGAAAAAAAATTAATATAACTTTCTTTCTTAGTATATATATATATATATATATAATATCTAGTAGTGTTGATATTAAGTAAGTAGTAAGCATATATTAATTAGTAAGTATTTATTAAATAGTAAGTAATCTTTAGTAAGTTAGTTTGTGGAACGACTTAACAAGTGAATCGGATTAATTTTTAAAGTCTCAAAACATCCAACGAAATTGCCTAACCTTACTTACTTCAACTGATGTTCTTTACTCTACATCTGCCTTCCCCCGGACCTGGTTTTGGCGTTGTAGCCCCTTTATTGACCAAACACACAAATGCCCAAATAATGTGTGGTCAATGTTAGCACACAGGACTGTGAAATAAACTCTGGTCTATTAGATAGTCCGCTTGAGGGACATGCTTACACAATGAATGACAGGTGGATGGGGACATATTAATCATATCCTATGTAATGATTCTATTTCACTACCCCTCTTGATTTCGTTAACATCAACTAGTGCATGATTCCATTGACTTTTCTAGGCACAAATGGTAACTGTGTTCCTCCTATACATTGCATCAATATTTACTTTAATAATATAATTT